CTGCCTGATCCTCCCTACCTGCTTTATTTTTCTTCATGGCCTTCATCACCATTTTATATACTAAATATCTTACCTAGTTTTGCATTTATTGGTGTTACCTCTCCCGCAACCCAAGTAGAATGCAAGCTCCATCCAGGAGGGTGGGATTTGTGTTTATTTTGTTAACTGCAGCACGCCCAGTGCCCAGACCAAGGGCCAGATAGTTAATATCTTACGCTTTGCAGGACATACAGTCACTGTCACAACTACTCAACTCTGTTGTTATAGCCTGAAAGCAGCCATAGAAGTATGTCAACAAATGCGCATGACTGTGTTCTAATAAAACTTTATTTACAAGAACAGGTGGCGGGCTGAATTTGGCCTGTGGGTCACACTTTGCCAACCCCTGGCTTAGATCATTGTCTGCCACATTGTAAATGCTAAATAGATATTTGTTGAATAAGTTAATCAGTGACTAAATGGATGAATGAGCACAAGATACCTGGTACAGTGCCTGGTGCACAGCTTGTACTCAATAAATGCATATTCCTTTCTATTTTATACTTGTCAAAGGAACTAAAAAAGACGGTTTATTAGAAATAAATGATAAAGACTTATTCTAGGATCTTATAATTTGCAAACTATGCAGACAGCTAGGCAAAAACCTACAAGTGTTCTGAAGAAGAAAGAAAAGAGTCCTTGTAGTAAAAAGTACATTCTTGAGAATTATCTGTCCTGCATTTTTAGCCCTAAGATTGGTCCATGATGGTTATTAGTCAGATGCCAGGGGTCTGGATAATCGATGTCAGGTGGACTGGCTATGTGAGTCCTTCGGGGAGTAACCAGAGGTTCATCTGGAGGTCTGGTGTATGTCCAGATGTGTATCCAGGCATCAACACAGGATTGGAAAGTCCAAAAAGTTTACGTTCCCGAGCTAGTTAGAACAAGAATAGGATAGCTTCCTCATGCACTAACCTTCATAATGTTAACAATTTTAGCAGCCTGGCTAAGCGACTCAATTTTATGTATTTCCTATATTCACCCTTTCCTCATACTTAATAATACAACAAGATAGACCATGATATATTGTATTCGAGGTAGAGAGAAAGTGCCCAGGGAGTACTGAGGTGGGGGACTCCTCCTCTTTGGGTAAAGGAGGACTCCAAGGGGGTCTCAAACTGGAGTCCCCTAGAAGCAGACCCTGAATCAAGGATTCTAAGGCAAGCAGTTTATTTGGGAGGAGATCCCAGGAAACATCAATAGAGGAGCGGGTAAATGAGAGAGGGAAGGGCCGAGAATAAATGCAGGGTGTGATAATGAACACGCAGGTTACTGCTGTGGGAAACCAGCCTGGATCCCAATGGAACCTCAGGGGGAATGTGGAATTTGCCTCAGGATGGTCCTACCCTCCCCCATCCTCCTGTGAGGCTGGGCTATTCTCCAGTGTCCATCCCCCACTAGTTGAAGGCTGCTCTCAGGGCATCAGCTTCCCGTTGGGTGGACAGCAGCGGGTGCTTGCTGTAGGATGCCTTCAGCAGGCACCCGGTAGGTGAGGGTGCTGGGCGATGGGCAGGCGCTAAAGCAATACTTGAGCTGCCTCACCAGATAAACTGCCACCTCGTTTAAGTTACTGTGTTCAGGTCTGTGATGAAGGCTAAGCCTAATCCTAATTGGGGCAGCTGTGAATAGCTGTTTCGGCCGACAGAGCATGTTCTGTCCCTGCACCAGTTGGAAGACTGTCTGGGAAGGTCGCTGATTCGCCCAGCCTGGGTCGGATGTCAGCTGTTGGGGTCTTGGTGTGGGGTATGGTGGCTGGCAGCACTCCCCTTCTATGCAGAATGGGGAAGGGGCAATCCCTAGCCCAGGAAGAAGAGGTATGCGGTTTCCAGCAGGAGGGGTTCGGGGCAGATGAGACAATAGATCTCCCCCATACATATCGAGGTGCTTTTGTTTGTTTCTCTTACTTTGTGGATAACAAATACACTCACAGAGGAGCTGCAGTTTAATGAAACCATTTGCATGCCAAAACTGAACAAGCCCCACCACGGAGCTGTTGCTGGGTTTGGAAACATAAACATGAGAAATACAGGCAGATTTTTTTAAAGTGTTCAGTTTATACAGCAACAAATGTGACAGGAGAGAAAGTAATCTAAGCCCCCAGTAGTTAAGAGGCCACTCATTAGCATTCTTTCTCCTGCCTGCCATTCAAGGCGGGTGGAGCGACCTCGGGCAGGTCACTGAACCTCTCCCAGCCTCAGTTTCCTCGTCTGTAACACGGAAATAACACTGAATGCATAGCCTATGGCTTATGAGGTAAAGCATGTGACTGGCTCATGGCAGCTTCTCATTAATTGTTTGATGGTTATGACGATGGAAATGATTTCCTTTGTCCTCCCTGTGGGAAACTTCCCTGCTCGGTCAAATCGTTCTTTTGTGGCCACCTAGAGGCCAGCTGAGGCTTCCAGCAGCGCCACAGTTTTCTCTCACCACTGCTTGCCAAGAGCATCCCTCTCCGCATCACAATCAGAGAGGTCACCTTCCAAGCAGAGCTGGGAGGCCGGAAAGGTGCTCCCGGAGGGTAGAATAGGATGAGGCTGTCTGTGGGGAGGAGCTGGGGGCCTGGGCGGGAGCTGGCCTCGTCCTAATCCCCTCCGCTCGCCTGGCCAGGACTTCAGCCCCACAGAGCCAGGGAGCGTTTCTCATGGAGGCATGCCCGCCATGGGGGGGGGGGGGGGGG